TACAGCCACTACTACTACTACTGCTGCTGCTGCTGCTGCTGCTGCTGCTGCTGCTCCTGCTACTGCTAAGCTACTGCTACTGCTACTGCTACTGCTACTGCTACTGCTACTGCTACTGCTTCTGCTTCTGCTACTGCTACTGCTACCACCACCACCACCATCACTACCATTGCGACTATTACTGCCACGGCTACTGGTACTGCTACTGCTGCCGCTGCTGCAGCTGCTGCTGCTACTACCACTACTACTACTACTACTACCACCACCACTACTACTATTGCCAGCACCACCACGACTGCTGCTACCCTGCATCGTAGGTTCGTCCTAGCCAGGCGGGAGGCAAAAAGTACCTCTACTTTCCCTGCTACTACTGCTACTCCTACTGCTCCTACGTACTACGTGCTACGCACGACGACGTAGGTACTACGTACAACGTAAGTACTGCGTACTAGATGGTGGTGGTGGCGGTGGTGGTGGTGGTGGTGGTAGTACTACTACTACCACTACTCTACCACTACTACTACTACTACTACCACTACTACTACTACTACTACTACTACTACCACTGCTACGACGACTACGACGGCGACGGCGACTACTACTACTACTACTACGACTACTACTACTACTACTACTACTACTACTTACTATCTACTACTTTCTACTGTCTTTCTGCGTACTGCTTGCTACGTACTACTTACCGTTTACCACATACGACTTACAACTTCCTACTTACTACCTAGTACTTAGTACATACTGCTACTTACTGCTACTAGTAAGACAATCGAGTCTACGTTCTCACGCTTCATTGTTGCTTCAGTTTGTGTGCACGTTCACACGCCGCCGAGGATATATTTATCGCACATTGTCCTCCACTGGAACGCGCCTACCCCCGAAGCAAGCGAAAAGTTCATGCCGTTGGATTTGATGAGACCAAAGGAGCCATTGAAGAAGGTATACTTGGACTACACCCTGAACCTCCAAGTTCCTTTGGGTGATACGGATCAATTTCTGCGTCCTTATCTAAGACCGAAGTGGAGCCAGAATTTCATCGAGCATAATTTATCTTGGTGGCCTGCATTCGACCGCATTAATGAGTTTGCTCCAGAGGAGAATTGCGTGGAGTATGTCATGAAGCAGCTTCAGGCAGTCTATCCACCAGTCTACCAAGAATGGGCGGACAAGCATAGCGACCGAGCACTGGCAAGATTCTGCCTGTACGGGCTAGCAGCTCATCGGATTGAAACGGAGGTTGTTGATGGCAGAAAGCTGTACGTTGTCAGGACCAATGCGTTGTCAGGCCTCCCAGTCCGAGAAGGTTTTGAAAGGTATGGAGGCGATGCCTATTTTGATGAGTTGTGGAAGCCTGTCATGATTGTGGACTATGGCATGGGTCCTATGAGAGAGGATGATGACGCCACCAAGGTGGTCACCAAGCCAGGGGAGCAAAACTGGGCTCGTGCCAAATTTCGATTCAGGTCATCGCTTTTTGTGCTGGTTACGCTGGTGGACCATCTTTACCATGTCCACCTCCAAACTACCAATTTATTCGTCACAGCTTTACGAGAACAGATGTCGCCGGAGCACCCGATTAGAAGGTTCTTGACCCCTTTCACTTATCAGACAATTTCCATCAATGACAATGCCAAGTTCAATCTTGTAGCACCAAGATCCATGGGACCACGCTGCTTTGCTCTGACAGAGAGAGGCTTGGAGCTCGCATTTACAGCAGCTCCCGATTTGGTCGTCCCACCCACGAAGGACATCTTCGATTTGCGGGCATACATCCTGAACTTGAAAGAAAGTGGTGTGGACACCGTGTACTGGCGACAGGCCTTGGAGCTGTACGATATCATGGAGCGATTTGTGGTTAGCTACTTGTGGTGCTACTATGCCACGATGCCAGAATGCGCTAGTGCTTTCTAATTATCTTGCTGTGGCCCTACTTTCGACTCTTGCCTTCGTCACTACCAGCATGGAGTTCTGCTAAGGAAACAGGATTTGGCTGACGACCCGGAGCTGCGCAGGTTCGCCCGACATTTCTTCCACTGCATGGAGGTCATTGATGCCGGCTCTTCGCGGAGGGTTGGAGCTCCACGGATCGCTTGTGCACCTTGGTCTAGTTTGCTTGCCAGTTTGCAGCGCTTGGGTGTTAAGACAAGCTGGCACATGTCGAAGAACCGTGCAGTTTGACCGGCCCAGACCCCAGCTTCCGAATCACAAGCCACACAGGCTGGGCTTTTGAGGCCTCTTTTCTCGTCCTAGTCTTGACCGCCCAACATAGATCATGCTCTCCCTGAGGCTATCTCATGCCGTCTCATTTGTCATCTCTAGCTCACTATCTCTCTCTCTCTCTAGCCTGCTTTCTCCTGCTCAGGGTTTGTTGAATCAGCTGCACTTCCTTCTGCAAGTTGCTCGGGCCATCTCCTTGTTCATGTTCTTGCCTTGTGGCATGTTGGCGTTCGATTGGATTTGCTTATTCAGGTATCACCTGCTGCTTCGGCAGAGGATACTTGGGATTTCTACGTCAAGTGGATGGCTGGCGTCATGTGGCTCGCGACTGCAGGCTTGGTCACGGCATGAAGAAGACCGGAAAGATTTGCAGGATGCTGTCAGACTCTCTGACAGGTCCATAGGTTGTTCCTTCCGAATGTTGAAATCCCAAACATGTTTGGCCCAGTCATGGTCCGTGCTGTGACTGTCAGGTCACGAACAGATGGGGGCGGTTGAGGTGTATGCCCAGGACTTGCCTCGGATTGCGTCTTGAGAACACAAAAAACCACGGAACTAAACTCTGCTTTGTAGGGAAGAGTGGGATGTTCGCTTGACGGGGCAACGGCCATGGCCATGGCACTTTCGGTCACATCTGGCATAGTCGCTGCCTGCCCACACGGGAACGACTCGAAGGTTTCATATTTCTTTCCTGAGGCGCGACCACATGTAACAGGCCCGAGCCGGAACGGCGTGGTCATGCGTACTAGGTACAGCGCCTTTCTAAGACAATGGAGACCGCAAGCCAGTCACCATTTTTTGGTTTCCGTCGAATTCTGGCTGGTTTGTCCTTCGGTTTGTCGCCAAGTCGATTTGTCGCCAAGAGGTCAGCTCAAACTGTGCGAATGGAAACCCCATGTGCAAAAAGCCACGAACACATCGTAAAACTGCATACACACTCCTTCATTACTGGGCGTGTAGCCAAGCTGGGGTGCGATGAAGCGACAGAGCGCGGAGCCCGCCGGTCACTCCCAACAAAAAACATGAACACCTGAGGTCGCTGTCAACCCCTACGACAGGACAAGACGGTCATGCCAAACTGTTGTCTCAAAGCTGTCAGAGAGACAAGCTCAAGCTGACTGTCTTGTGAACTGGGAGGATGCATCTTGGACTGCGTTCAAGTGGTCGCCAGGGGCACTGAGGGGGACGAAGCAAACGGCGACTTTGCAGGCTCTGCTCATGTCCTTTACGTCGACACCAATGCCGAAGCTGCCCGTCCAAACAAACATGTGGAGTTTGAGGAGTTGATGGATGTTGATGGTTGGAGGCTAATTCATCCCTCAGGCCCGCAGAAAGAAAGAAAGACGTTCGGTGTCAGGTGGGGAGGTAGGTGAGGTGGGGGTCCAAAAGTAGCGCGTACGGAAGCGGGCAAGCTAGCCCCAACAGTGGGAGCAGAGCTCAAGCCGATAACCAACGCTGGGGGGCGTGTGTCATGTTCTTTTACGTTGTAGGGGTCCTGAATAAGCCCAGCAGTAGAGAGCTTTGATCCAACAGGGAAGTGGAGCTTCCCGTGAGCGCAAGTCGCAAGAGGGGCGCAAACGTACTCTTTGTATTTCATTAAGGTTGTCGTTGTTGTGTTGTTTGGTGACAGCATCGCCCTCAGCCGACGATTGCCTCCCAGTGCCCACGGATAATTGATGCCTACAGGGTTTTCTCATCGGTGACGGTCTTAGCAGGTGTGTTTTTTTTGGGGGGGTAAGGGAAGGCGTATTCAGGGGAACGTGGAGCCACTCACCCCGAGAGGGGCTTGTCCGACTGACAGACGCGCGCCATGGGGGTAGGCCTTCGGGCCAGAGCTCCTTTGGGGGCTCAGACCCCTAGCAAGCAAGCAAGCAAGCAAACCAGCACAAGCAAAAAGCCTCCGCAATGCCCGGGGTCAAAGCTCTAATGCTTTGCTCGCAGAGTGTTGCCCAACATGAACGGGGCTCTTTGTGCGTAGTGTGTGTTGACTGCGGACCGGTTACCATACGGGGGCGGAAGACGGATTCAGGGAGCCAAACTAGGCTGGGAAGTGCGGTACCGGCGGTACCAGGGGGTTCTCAGTTCAAAGACCAACACACAGAGTGCAATGCTGTAACGCCTCACATGCTCACTGGAAGCAGCGCTTGTCGCGCTCAACAGCAAGCGTATTACCGCGCCCGCAGTACTCGGACATCCGCTTTTGTAGCAACGTCCTCAAACGTCCTCAATGATCTGGCCGCCCCATCCTTTCCGGCTTCTCTCTAAGACTCGCCCATGCTTCACCACGGGAGATTGCGAGCTCCACGGCTTTGCAATTATCACGGCTTTGCCCCTCATGGTAGTCGCTCCGGTGGCTCTCGGGAGTGCTCTGAACGGCTCGTTCTGCATCTGCTCCTAGTGCTCTGTGGCAAATCGTCGAAGCTGCTGTGTCTGCGGTAGGAGGCCACCTGCGACCGAAGCGAGCAGGGCTCTCTCTCTCTCTCTCTCTCTCTCTCTTTCTTTCCCTCTCTGCTCTCTAGCAGGCTGTATGGTTCGCACTCTCTCCCTCTTTCGCAAGGGCTATGAATGAAAAAGCAGTCTCAAGTAAAGGGTTGCGGGTGCTCTCGCTATGTTTTCCACAGTTTATCCACTCGGCTGGTGCCCTCACAGCGACTGTACCGTTGGGGTTGGCTGTGATGGTTGGCTCCCCGCCCCATACCAGCCGTTGGAGTAAAGATCAAAATCCAGTCTTTGCCTTCTGCTCTTCTTATCATTCGCTCTCAGTTGCGCTCCGCTTCTTCTTGGCGGCGCTTGCGCCGTTCATCTCTGTTAGCCACTTTCTTGCCGAGCTTCGTCTTCTTTTAATGGCATTTCAGGGCGCATGAAGTTGATCTCGTCTTCCCTTTTTGTGCTCCGAGTTTTGAGCGGCCCTCCAGTAGCAATCATTCTGGACTGATGGCGTCCGGGTTTTCTTCAATGTGGTGTCTGGATGTGTCTGGCACGTTCTGCGGACTAGTGTTTCTTTTCAATCACCAGTCGGATGAACCCTTACCCTTCTTGCTGGAGGTGTCTTTTCAGGTTTCTTCTGAAAGTCTGTCTCTTCTTCTTCCACACAGTCTCGCTTACTTCCTTGTTTGCTTGCTTGCTAGCTGCTGACCATCCCCTGGCCCACCTCCTAGTACTGCAGTCTCTCTCTCTCTCTCTCTGCCGCTGCTGCAGCTGCTGAGGCGTTTGGGGATTAGGCACCCGACCTGGTGGACAGTGTTGGTTTCTTTTCAAGGCACGTTGTACTTTCCACGAGAGTTCAAAGATAATTGAACCCGTGCTTCCTGAAGCAACTTCTCTTCCAAACGCAGTGTTTTGGAAACCTATTGTTTTGGACAATGTACAATTGACCGGGCGTGCCCAACGCCACTGTGAATCTGTTTGTACGAGTGATGTTACTGCATGCGCTGTCCTCTTTCATGAGATAATGGGGTGACCGCTTGACCCCAGTCACAGTCTCACACAGAATGTGCAAAGACCTGTGCCGGCGGCCGACAAAACAGCCGCGCGATCGCACGCAAGTTCCCACCCTAACAGGAGCGCTAGGGCTGAGAGCGAGACAGCAAGCAAGAAAGCGAGAGGGAGGAGAGCGGGAGATACAGACAGAGACTGAGTCACTGAGTTGCGTGTCTTTGGAGACATATGCCAGGCAAGCTAGCGGCAGCAAGTTTGACAGCATGTTAACATTTTGTGAGTTCGTGCTCCGTCATCAAAGGCTTCTGGGCGAGGACTGGTCCCATTTGTTTCCGCCGGCTTCCATAGCCTCAGGTGGGAATGCGAAGGACTGCTTCAAAAAGTTTCAGAGTGATCTAGAGACCATGGCAGCCAAATGCGATGCCTACAATGCAGCAGCTGATTCAAGAAGTTTCCCCGACTGCTATCCCATGTATGTTAACAACCCACGCGTTCTGGAAACCAGTGTGAGCGTCTAGCATGACGTGCTTGTGCTTGCCTTGGTCTAAAAGACCACAAGTTAATGCCCCGACTGCTTATTGCTGACAAGGGCAAGGGCATGAACTGGAACGGAGTGTTTCACGGTTCAGGAAGAACTGATTTTGAGCTATAGTTGGTTGCCCGAATTTTGAGTGGTCGCTGGTAGCCTAAATATCGGCTACTACACTTGTAGTGCAGCATGTTTGCACAGAGCCCAACCTGTAGCTCGGTGAAACCGATCATCAAAGACTTCATTCGTGATACTATCTTCGTTCGCAAAGCAACGAAAAATGCTGAGCAGCTGCCCACAGACAACTGGCCAGATTGGCGAGATGCAGTTTCCGGCATGCATCAGTCGAATGCAGATGGTCCCGCGCTGGGGCCGCATGCTGTGCCACTGCAACCCCTTGTTGCCATGCTTGCAGGTGTCCACGGACTTTCATCCGGCCAACTGGATGGATATGGTCAAGAGAATTCTTGAGGTGAGTCGCAGGCATGGATGCGATGCAGACAAAAGCCTGGCAGTTGCCTTTTTTCCACATTTTCTTCATTAGGCTGAGCCACGAACATGTGCTGTACAAGGAGGCAGACTCGCTCCCCGGACTTGTTCCGGGGCTCCACTGCAGCTTGATGCTCGAGGCCGTGCCCCATCATGTCTCCCACAGCAGCTACCACACTTGTAGCCTACTGCGCATATTGAAAGTCACAAGTCTTCAGAAACCTCCTGGCCATGGCAACCATGCGACGTTGGTTTTGCAAGTCCTGGATTCTCTGGACAGCTCTCATACTCGCCAGCGACGCTGCATTGCGGAAGCCCAGCGTCGCGGGCAAAAGCATCTACTTCATTGTGACGGATCGCTTTGCCAGGAGTGGACCAGACAAGGACCAACTGGTGCACAGAGACTATCAAAGTATGATAGACTACTTCCTTCTGATACACTGCTAGGACAACTACGAGTTCTGTGACCTCGCCACACTGCCCAACCCGCTTGCTCCGAATGGTGGCGCATGGTGCAACGGGACTCTGCAGGGTCCTTTGCAGCGGAAATGATTATGATTATTATTATAGATGAGTTGCAGTTGACATAGCCGAATCTTTCGACTGCAGGAGAAGAGTGATGTTTTATTTCCGCTAGACTTCTGCTCGGAGTCACAGCCCTGACAGACTTACCCTTCAGGTATCATTGACCGCCTGGACTACATCGAAGGGATGGGGTTCGACTGCATCTGGATCACCCCGGTTGTCAAGTCTTTAGACTACACAGGTTACTATGCCCAAGATTTCTTCGATGTTGATCCGCACATTGGGACAAAAGAGACCCTCCGTGCCTTGTCCACCGAGCTCCACAAGCGAAACATGTGTCTTGTGGTGGACATCGTCGCCAACCACGTTCAACCGTTGGTGGCGAAGTCCGACAATTCTCCCGATGCTATAAAGACATACCTGGGTGTAGAAGGCATCAATCCCTTCAACAAGGAGGCTGTTGGTGGAAATTTGGGAATCAAGTCGTACGCCTAGTGGGGCCAGATAACTCAACGTAGACGAGCTCACAAAGAGGGAGTGCGAGCGAGAGAGCTTGACTTGGGCCGCGCAGGAATACTATCACACGTACGGCAAGTCGCCGCTAACTCCGTTCCGAGATTATGTTCTTGGAGGACCTGCGCAGGCTTCCGATAGTCAAGGCAGCGACAAAGTTCTGAAAGACAGAGTGCCTTGGACTCGAAGCAAAAATTTGGGCAGTGCACTTGGACACAGCACTCACAGCACGTGCGAGTCTCGTCAGGTGAAGAAAGGTTTGACGCGGTGCCTCTTGATTGCACTAGAGGCCGACTCGGGAGTCGGCCGAGCCTGCGGAATCGCTCACTTTCTGCTCTGCCAAAGAGGGGGTTCTGATTTTGCCAACTTCTGCCAGTCGCTACCCGATTTGGCTTTCGAGGCTCGGCCGTGCCCACTCATGGTGATGCTGACCAGCAGGCTTAGCCAGGCTTATCCACGCCGGTTTGGGGAAACACCCCGTGCCGGTTTAGTGCTGCCTGAAAGATCCTTTCCTTCTTGCGCGCTTCTCCTTGGTGCTCCTTGACATTCCCCATCCCAGTTCCGTGAAGGTGGGTAGAAGGTTGAACCGTGCCGCATGTGCCACAAGAGCCGTTCTTGAGGGATTGAACAGGCAGAAGAATAGAAGGGGCGGCCGTGACAGCGACACAGTCGGGTCGCCGCTTCACTTCTAGCACCTTTTGCCACAGAACTGCCTGAAGAAGCGCGCTCAAAAGTCCTTACATGTCGGAACTCCAGAGCATAAGCTGTTGTCCAATGCCTTTTCAAACAAAGCATCACCTCGCTGTTGCACTGCTCCCCGAAATTCAAGAAAGCTAATTGCGAGGTCAGCAAGCAGAGGGTCGTGCTGCACAGGTTGCAGCAGAGGTTATTAGGTTCACGCCTGCTTGACCCGCGGCATCCACGGGTTGATGAGCGGTGAACTCAGCATGGGCTTGCGTCATCCCCATCCGCTTTGTGACACAAAGGTGGCCCGCGCAACATGAACCTGACGGAGTGCAACTGTTTTCCGGGCAACGGCGGGCCAGATTGTCCAGGCGATAATCCCGAATTACAAGTCCAAGGATGGTTCGGAATTCTTCCTGATCTCAACCAGGACGGCACCTCAGAGCGGAGTTGTGCTTTTGCAGCTCTTCGAGGCTAATTACCCTCAAAAATGCTGTTTCTCAAAGTTTCCTTGGCTCTTTCCGCATCTTTCCGCTGCTGTTTCTTCTAATACGCTGCTGTTTCTTCTAATACGCTACTGACTGCTACTACTGCGACGATCACTACTGCTACAACGGCTGCTGCTGCTACGACTACGACTACGACTACGACGACGCCACCACTACCACCACTGCTAGCACTACGCTCCCTCCCAACTTGGCTCACCAAATTTGGGCTGTTTAGTGGCAGCTGCTAGGCTCCCTAACTGCAATGGGTGCAGAAGTTGCAGGGGCTCAGTGACAGCACGTTTTCCTTAGCTGTCACAGCGACTGGAGTTGGAGAGGCTCCGGCCCCAAGACTGCGACGGCAGCTGGAGTTACAAACTCGACATGGGAGAAACTGCTAAACCAAAGGTGGTAAGATAGTAACGAAACGCCTAAATACTCTGTAAAAGCGCAGGTGCAGCGGAGAAGGCTTTAACAAAACTAAAACTTGAAGCAAAAAACTGGTAAAGATTCACAACCAGAATGCCGGGCGTACCTGCAAGGGGCTCGACAACAACCCCAAAGCTCAGACCTGCGCGTTGAAGGCACTAGTGTCTTCATCATCCCCACATCCCCACCACTCCCCACCCCCTCCGAATCCTAAGCTCGAGTTTGCAGAGTCGACAAGACCATTTCGAGGCAACAAAAGGTGGTAGGACAATAGGAAAGTACTGTAAATGCAGAGCCAAATGGATGCACTGTTAAGAAGGTGTGCAGCAACTGTAGTTAGCTATGACTACGACGACGACACTAGAACTGCTGCTGCTGCTACTGCTGCTACTACTACTACTACTACCACCACCACCACTACCACTCCCACTGCCACTGCCACT